GGGGGGAGAGACCACAGGGACAAGAGACAGAGCAAGATGAAGGATGTCAATAAATCAAAAGTAAAACACAAATATGACAGGTTGAATGCAGTACGCTTTCAAAATTAGAACTAGGATGGTTTTTAAAGACTTAATGTTATGAGCCCACAGGAGGAAAGTCCTTCCAGTACCATCATAGCACATCCCTCATCCAGCAACAATGACCTGAATTATTTTCACCTCAGATGCTTTATGTTCAGTGATGATTTATGCACCCTGCCTCTGTTTGAATAGGGTTCCAGTCTGTGCATGATGCAATTGAATCACTGAGTCAGATATGTGACATCAAATCTCGCCTTGACAAGGAGAAGCTTGAGAAGGATATCAGCCACATCCGCAGCAAGGTGCTCAAGTACTAGGGACATACGCTGAAGAGGAACTTGTTTTTTCTTGTCACACCTATCCTGAAGCAAAAGCTTGGATCAAAGGCTTGGAAGTAAAACCCTCTGGGTGTTACTACATTCATCTTTAAAAATAAAAAAACAATGCTGTTTTAACTGTATTAATCTACCTGCTCTTTAAAAACAAGGTAAATGATCCAGTAAGTACTGTATATTAGCAAATCACAAAGAGCTGCTATTCACAGTAAGATACCTACCTTTTCACAACTCACTACATTTTTAACTTTGCAATGTTTTGACTGTAAAACCTTTAAATACCATTGTACTTAAATGATATCACACTGATAAACTTGTGTTTTGAATATTATTTTAGTATTATGTAATAAATGATGTATTTTTTAAATATATAAATACCTGTATGTTTCTGTAAACAGATGTCAGTCACTTTCATCTTACAGACCTCCTCAACTGCAGGAGTACTTTCGTTTATCGTATAATTTTTCTTAGATTTTTGATCTCGTGATGGTGTTGGGGGGCATATACAAAATACTGCCGAAACCCGGGATCGAACCAGGGACCTTTAGATCTTCAGTCTAACGCTCTCCCAACTGAGCTATTTCGGCCACACACATCTTGAGAAGGAGGTGGACGCAGGGGCATTGGTGGGCCACGTGATACGTTTGGCTAGTCGTGATGTTGTTCACTTCATTGTGCTCTTACGTTACCCTGCAACACTCCTTTATTAATCTATAATGGTGTGACCTAACAGATATTAAAATAATGTTAAAAGCAACCATGATGAGACAGTAACTTATCGATTTTTGTTATTCGGCTCGGCCCATAATCAGGAGTTCATATGAATTGATTATGTTGCGTCGGTAATCAGTCAGTGAAGGCCTCAATCTTTCAGCAGTCTGAAACCTGAAGGATAACAAAAGAAACAAAAAGTTCGTGGCCCGTACGGGGATCGAACCCGCGACCTTGGCGTTATTAGCACCACGCTCTAACCAACTGAGCTAACCGGCCTAGCCCTGACGGTAAAAAACACATACCATTGAGTGACGTAATCAAACACCGTAAACGAAACCTACTGATCTGAAAGTTAAAGGACACAAACAGACAAAACTTCTCCGTATTTACGGTAAGGTTCACGTTTTTAACGTTAATCAGCCTTGAGCTACATTGATAAAGTAGTTATGAGACAGCCTTTTTCTACATGGGGGTACATAATTATGCTGTAGAAGAAAGCTACGCTCACACGGGAGATTTAGTCTAAGAATATGAGGAAGGAATGAAGTACACTGGGAAGAGCAAGCTATGGTACGAAAAGCTATAAAAGAAATACAGCAAGATAGTCTTTAAATATACACAAAAAGAAACAAAGGATGAAGAGGACACATTAAAAGTGAGAAATAATTGCACAGGTGTACAGTATGTGAATGTGAACGTGAACATGAAAAATGAGAAACATTCAGGAAATAGTAGTTCTGAAAGTGTTTTATGTTCATGCTGTCATCTTTAGTTATTAGTAGTTAGTTAGCAGTGAGTTACTAGTAGTGAGCGTAGTTATTAGTAGTGAAAATGATTTTTCCTTCTTCTTCTTGCTCATCAAAATATACAAATTATTGCATTCTTGTGTTTCACAGCTGCAAATCTTCATCATCCTCTGCAGGCCATTCTCATATCAGGATGTCTGTGCAATTCAATGGCTGGGAGGTGGTAGACGATGGTGCCTCTTATACTGGTGTGTTGCTAGAGCCGTCGCAGAGACCTCAGAACCGGGGAGTCTACACTATGTACCATGGGACCAGCGTTGCCAGCGCACGTCTCATTATTGCCAATGGCTTTCAGCAGTCGCAGCGGGGCATGTTAGGAAAGGGTGTGTATGTCAGCCGTGATAAGAAAAAGGCACAATGTTATCCATTGAACAGCAGCTCTTCAAACCGTGTGGTCTTCGAGCTGCGCGTGCGCGTTGGCCGCGTCAAACGTATTGACAAGGACAACCATCCTATGCAGTTCACATGGCACACACATGGCTACGACACTGCCTGGGTGCCCCCCAAATGTGGCATGATGGCTGTGAAAAGCGGCAAGGAGGAAGATTGTGTGTTTGATCCCAAAAGAGTGACTGTGGTGGGCATTGCAGATGCACCAGATACCATAAGGACAGAGCTTCAGGAGCTTCTTGCAAAAACATCCAAAAAGTCTGGAAGAGGAGATGGTGATTCTGCTGATGTGTGTCCCCTTTGCAAGAGAAAGACACAGCAGGGCGCCCAACATATCAAGCAACAGTGCTGGAAGTGTGGGCAGAACCTCTGCATTCTTATGTCCAAGCACTTCTGTCCAGGAAGACCATGACAGTCCAGTAAGGTAGAAAAAACTGGATAGGCGATGTCCATGTGCCTGTTTATCAACCAATGTGTCATAGCAGGGCCAACAGCAGACAAGCTGACACAGCTGGTGCAATATTTTCCAATAGTTAATGCTGGATGTATCTTGTTTACTTTATTAAAACGTTAATTTCGTATCCCGACTGTATCACTCTTCGATTATTAGATTTTTATTCATGATATTGTTATATCGAAACAAGAAAGGTGATCTGCTGTATTTACCAAAATAAAAGAAGAATTACAATAAATATCATTGTTGTCATATCAAAGTCCATAAACTGATGACTTCTAAGAATAAGAACTAGAACAGACATATTGGCTCTCTTCCACAGCATGTCTTTTATCCTGCCTTCCTTCTCTCACCCCAAAAGTTTGCAGCAGATGGCCGCCCTCCCTGAGCGTGGTTCTGCCAGAGGTTTCTTCCTATTAAAAGGGAGTTTTTCCTTCCCACTGTGGCTAAAGTGTTTGCTTACATGGGGTCGTGTGGTTGTTGGGTTTTTCTCTGTATGTATTATTGTAGAGTTTTCAACTTACAATATAAAGCGACTTGAGGTGACTGTTGTTGTGATTTGGTGCTGTACAAATAAAATAGAATTGAATTGAATATTTTAAGTTTAAGTAATTTCCCATTTGTGTGTCACTAAGAGATAGTCTTGGAAGCTGTGGCCGATAGGCAAAGCTGAAGACGTGGGGGAAAATCGTCATTTCAAGATAATAATAAAAAACTGTTTTTCAAAGGTAAATGTCCTAACAAATGGTACAGAGCAATGAGAGTCATACAAAGTAAGAAGGAAGGAAAGGAGAAACTGCTGTACTATAGGATACTACAAGTGAAATCAACACAATATAAAAAGGTGACCTGGGTGTTTTTCTCAGATTTGCTAATCATATGTCCATACAAGCCTCTCTGCTCATTAATCCTCTGTTAACCGAACCTCAAATTTTCTGTAAGCTAGTGTGATTAAACATAAACTACTTTAGCAATGTACATGATGCAAACACAAAAAATATGGTGCTTTTAGTGGTGAATGTTCCAAAGCCATAATGTATTTGGTCAGCAAAGTGACATAAAATACTGGTTCTCCCAGTATAGTCAAGCCAACATCCATGTAACTCATATAGTTGACATAAAATATAGTACAGTAGCATAGATACAGTGCTTTATAAAGAGACCAAATTGTTTCATTTCAGAATTGTATCTAAGCAACGTGCATTATCACTGAGACATTTGAGGGGAAACTCAAAAAATGTCACGTGACTAAGGTTGACCTTCAGTGGCTGTGACGGACAATTGATTATGGATAGAATTGCGGGATTGTGTAGTTTTGAGCTGGGCTCCAGATCATTGTGCTGTTTTGGGAGGAAATTTACTCCAGAGTCAAGCAGCATCCATAGCAAATTGAGTGGCTTTTCAAAATGGAGCGATACATTTCCTTGTTTTTACAATCACATAAGCACCACCAAACCATCACGCTGATTAAAGATGGTCCCAGATATTTGTCTTTTTTCATAAGACAGAATCAATTTCATCAGTCTGAAATTAAATGTGGTCTAGTTGGAAATAACATGCAATCTGTTTCTGATAATAAAGTGTTGCCGTCTAAAGACAGAAATTCACATTTAACTATTACATTTGCACTCGGCAAGCTTCCTGCTCTACAAGAATATAACCAGTAACATGTTTGGAAATCTGGCTGCATTTATAAATTAGACAGCAATTATTGGCAAACCTTTGACAATCTGTGATTGCAGCCAACCCAAGTCAGACTGTGACTGTTTGCAGAACGGTTGCCTACTATTTGGCGGCCTGTGAAATTGCCTTGAGATAAAAAGTAATCATGTGTGCAACACAACAACAGCATTGTGACTGTGCTATTAGTTTGCTCTGAATTATCAGATACTTTGTTGAGCTAAGTGTGTGCACTGTTGGGTGGTTTTTCAGGTGAGCTGATTTAATGAAACTGTACTTGGTTAAAATTATATCAGGATGGTGGTGCATGAGATGAGCCCTCTTGGTGTCCCTGTATTGATATAATATTGCAGTAGTATGCTGTACTGTTTCATTCACTCTCCTTAATACGGTCACATTTTTAGTGCTGACATTAATTCAGGCTGGTGTTTTGCAGATACTGTTTAATGAAGCTGTCAGACTCCTGGGCTCTGTGGCATATGTTTCTTAATGTAGTGATAATGATGTACCTGTCTTTTTGCTCATTTACGTAATAACGCCACCCACTTCACTTTGTATTCTAGCTAGATCCAGTTTATGCTGCTCCGGGAGTAGTGCTGCAATATTTGGATACCAAGTAAGCACTGGGGCCGATACTAAACCTATAACGGTATCTTATCCTATCGATCCAATCACACTAGTATCAGTCCAAAACCAATACCAGTGTTGGTATCAATATTGTCGTTTTTTCCCCCAAACTTGGCAACAAAAAAGTGGCTCTACAAAGACTCAGTATGCAAAAGTAATTAGTACTCGAGCCTAACTGTTTAACTGATAACATAGCTTAAAAAAACACATCATTGTTAAAAGCACTTTGAACAATTACGAGTACAATACACGTGAAAAAGTTCATGGCCCGTACGGGGATCGAACCCGCGACCTTGGCGTTATTAGCACCACGCTCTAACCAACTGAGCTAACCGGCCAGTGTAGGGCATGACTTTGAGACCCTACATGGCAGAACATCTGATAGGAAACTGAAAGTTAAAGGGAGGAGATTCCCATTATAAACCTGAACAGAAAGTGGAAGTGAAAGAGAACAGACGGCTCTTCACAAAAGGCTTTAACTTTTAACTTCGTGAACTTCAATCAGCCTAAACGACACAAGGTACAGATATTTCGTTGTATTTATCGCGAGTAATCGGTACTCAGTTTTTATGACAAACCTTAGAGTCCTACTGTGTTGGATAAAAACCGGCTAACGCTAATTTAGCCAAATATTGTTTGATTTCTGCATATAATGTTAGTTCTTTTCTGGGCATCTAAATACTCAGTACTACCAAATTCGCTATATTATACAGTAAGGTTTACAATATTAGGATACATTATGTAACTTTAACTGTAGATTTGACTTTAAGCAGCTGTCTTAAAGTCAAGGTTTGGGGGTTTTCAGCTATTTTTTCTCAATATAGACTACTTTTTGACATAAACAAGGTACTTCTCTTGTCACGTAGACTTATATATTGAAATCTGTACAGCTAACAATGCAGTTGCCGTTGTCACAATTAACATTTGACCCAATCTGATTCACTGAGGTCAAAGTCCTGAGCTATGTGCAATAAACTGTATGCCCCGAACCTCTCCTGAATTTGTTATAAGTTACTGGCATTAATGTTCATGCCTTACATGGTTTCTGGTCTTTGCAGGGCTTAAACAGCAGCCATTTGTGAAGCAGGATGTCGCTACAGTTCTTTGGATGGGAGGTTACCTATGATGATGAGTCTCCCAGTGTGGAGCTGACAGCCTCCCAGGCACCGAAAGATAAGGGTGTCTACACCATGTACCATGGTACCAGCATTGCCAATGCACGTCTCATCCTTGCCAGTGGCTTTCAGCAGTCGCAGGGGGGCATGCTAGGAAAGGGTGTGTACGTCAGCCGTGATAAGAAAAAGGCAGAACGTTATCCATTGAACAACAGCCCTGCAGACCGTGTGGTCCTCAAGTTACACGTGCGTGTTGGCCGTGTCAAACGCATTGACAAGGACAACCATCCTATGCAGTACACTTGGAGCACGCAGGGATATGACACTGCTTGGGTACCCCCTAACTGTGGGATGAAAGCTGTGCCCAGCGGCCTGGAAGAGGACTGTGTGTTCGACCCCAAAAGAGTGACAGTCGTGGGCATTGCAAAGGCTCCACACAATGTGCAGACAGAACTTCAGCAGCTGGTGACTAAGAACATCAGCCATTCCAGCACAGTCCCGGGTGGAGTAGTGCATGGTGCTACTGCTTTGGACGTGTGTTCACTATGCAAACGCAGGCAGCAGCAGTCGCCACACATCACGACACCATGCTGGGGCTGTGGGCAAAACATCTGTATTCTTATGAGCAAACATGTATGTCCAGTTAGCGTTTGAGAGTGAGTGACACGGATGGATTCACATATATGATCCGGCAGAGTGTCAGAAAAAAGCTCAAAAATGCATATGACTCAAAGTTTCTTCTGTTTCTTCAACTTTAGGGATGTTTGAATATTGTTTACAAAGTTTTATGTGAATTTTAAAAGTCACTGCTCATTCTAATTTACACTGCTGTCTTTTATAGTTTACATGTAATCAAGATGAGACAATCGTTAGATATTGAGAAAATGTCTTTATTTAGCCTTGAATGTGGATGCGGTACCTGCATTTTAAGCACATTTTGAAATATGTGACAATCATAATTTCAACTTACTGAGGTAATTAGATCATGTAAAGCCATTAAAGCCATTATTTAAAGACCCACTGATAGTGGTGGTTTTTGTCTGGTGATAAACCTGCTAAGCAATGTGATTTCATAAAGCATAAGGAGATGGATGCAAAGTTCAGGATGAAGAGTTGAGGACTGAATGAAACTCCAGTAATCTTTCATCTCCGTTCATTTTGGCATCTTGCAATAGGACCTGCAAAAAGAAATGGTGGTAAACGATTACAAAGGCAAGGACCAAGAATAATCACTTTTAGTTTAACTATGTGTATGCTGTCACCATTTCCACAAACGTTTCTCCCAAACAAATGTTCCTAAGTGGTGTCTGCAGGAATGAGGTAGCTGCATGTTCACCTTCATGAGTTCCTCGTCGTTTTTGGCATGCAGGTGTCTCAGGAGATACCAACTGGCCACCTGCACCACTGTCGCTGGTATATCTTGAATGTAAACCAGCCTCTCTAGCAAGCGTCTTGTTTCCCTATAGAAGACACAGCAGACATGAACAAACATATAACATGATTGCTATCCATTAGGCAGCCTGTTCCCATGTAAATGTTTCTCTTCCTTTTTTGGATGCTTCCTTTACGGGTCACCAAAGAGGATCATCTGCCTCTATCTTACCATATCCCCAGCATCCTCCTTTGTTACACCAACCCTCTGCATGTCCTTCTTCACTACATTCATAAACTTTCTCTATTGTCTTCCCCTTTTCCTCCTACATGGCAGTTCATTATCCACACTAATGTATCCACAATCTCTACTCAGCCCATGTCCAAAGTATCTCAGCCTTGCCTCTCCAACTTTGTCTCCAAAACACTCGACCTGAGCTATTCCTCTGATGTCCAACTGCAGCTTGGACTCCTGTCTTTTTGTTGGGGCCCTTGTCTGTACGTCATAGCAGGTCTAACTACTATCTGCTATCCTGTCACAAATCACCCAGATACTTGTCTCCACCTGCTCCACCTCAGTCTGGCCTGATACTGTAACTGTTATCTCTCTTCCATCAGTATTGACTAATATGAAATGAAATGAAAAGAGCTCCTGATACTGTGATTATGCTTGGCACAGAAGTTTCTGCAGCATTTCTTAAGGAATTTAGCCAGGTCATGGTTGGCATATCTGCTCAGCTCAGCATTCTCATGAATGTACTCTAATTAACCGTACTGGCAGTCCTCTGAGGGTGACAGAATGCTATAATACTACCAGGACATAAAATGTTGCTTTGCAGTTCCAAAAGTACCAATATATTGAAAAGACAGATGGAAGCATGGATTTGAAGTTTTAAGAATCTTATGTTTCATTTAATCACTTAAGCCGTTAAATTAAACATCTACAGGGATAAAATCATTTGCATGGCTATGTGGGCTGACCAACAGCACTGCAACCTGCACCTCTATGTACGTAAATAAACTTAGCATAAGGAGCTGCACCGACCTAGCAGCCATCTTTGTCACAAACTGGAGCAGAGCCTGGAAAAGAAGGGCCACAGGGGATGAGTCCAGCTTCAAGACCTCAGTAGTAGCTTCCAGCACCAAGTCCTTCCAGTCATTTCCTGGGACACCCACCTTAGAAGTCAGATCACACATGGTTCAGAGAAAACTAGGAAAGAGAAATCTGCACAAAATAAATACATCTAGTAAAGGTGTAATACGTCAAGCTACATTAATTCCAAACAACATGTGTAACACATGCACTAACTTTGGATACAAGCAAAAAGCTCTATTTAGCAATAGCGTCTTGTCAGCCACTTAGCCTTGGCTGCTCATCCTATGATTCATCAATCTTTTATCTCCTCTACTTTGAATCTGTCCTTACTTGACAGGGGTGTAAAAAAAGAGCCGACTCTGGCTTTTTGTGTGTATTCATTGAATTTTGTAATTTTTATGAAACACAACTGAGTCCTTATTGCTAAAATGCTACCTCTGGAACAAATAAATACATTATTCCCTAAATAATGCAATATAACATTTGTTGTTTGTATTGCTACAGTACAATCCTGCTTTAATAGCTGTAATTTCACACCTTAAAATTGTAGATCCTGATTTGAATCCCAAACATATACTTACCATACAAGGCCCGAGAGCTAACAGGGCTAGTCGGAGGAGGCTGGCTACCTGACAGCTGTGCATGCCAAGCTGCGAGGCCAGCTGGAGACACTGTCTGTAAGCCATGACCGCCTGAACCAGTAGGCCCTGGCTGCGATACACCTCAGCCAGCCACTGAGCAGAGGGAAGCAGAAGAACAGAGGAGTCACAAAATGAATGAAGATGATTTGGATCAGAGACAAGAATTCACTGAGTGACAGGTGGGGGAGAAAATATGAGAGGATAAGCATAATTACTGTTTTAAGATGCCATTATCTTCATCTAATCAAAAGATAACATGGCTAGAAGAATACTTATAACTACATAATATTGACATTTTCATTAGAATATTAATAAGGAAGCTCAAATGCTATATTTTTCATTCTCCACATATATACTGTCACACGGTAGCACCAACTGCCAATATGTTCAAGGCTTTTGCTGCGACCCTGTTACTGGTAGCAACTACTTGATGTTAAGTTCAGCAATTTGAGGTTTTCAAGTGAGGTAAAGAATGTTCAGAGTCTCAGTGAAAGCAAGAGAAAATGGCAGTAGAGGAGAAAAATAACATAATTTTAGCATGAGAGCAAAACCTTTTTTTCCAATATGCTGTCTTATCTTTTGAAATATCTATGTTTCCATTTTTAGCGGTTTTCAAACTTACAATTAAAATACTGGTAATTGAAATCAAAGAAGAGATCATCACTTAGTCACTCTAGCCTTGCTGGAGTACTTTAAATGGATAAGCGGGTAAATGTAAACGCTTACATGCCATGCCCCAAGGTTGGTAGGGTTCATCATCACAGCACTGCTGAGCTGCTCCAACACAGGCTCTGGGAGGACAGTACCACCATCAGTCATAAGGAGGCGCTGACACTGCACCTGCCTCAGTGATAACATCACTGCTGCATGCTCAGGGGACACATTCAAGACCTGTGACAAAGGTAAAACTGTGTCAAAGGTGGCAGGAGTTAAATATATTGCCAGAATGGACAAGATTAGAAATGGCTATCTGAGGGACAGCTCAGCTCAGTGTACCTCAGTGTTTTGGAGACAAAGTTAGAGGTGTGCACACAGTGTGTGTGAGTCCCCAATATCCTACCTGTGTGCAAAGGACCTCTGCTTGCTCTAGCTGTCCCTCCAGCATGAGACCAGTCACTGCCTGTTGTAGTACCCATCCTTCCAGAGCCTGAGCTAGAGGCCGCTCTATTTCATCCACACTACGCACTGAGACACAAAACCGCAAAAAGGTGTTAGCTACACAGTCAAATACGCAGAGACAAGTACACAAATGGGGCGACAGTAAAAGAGCACCAGTGAGCATACCTTTCTCAGAAACCACAGACATAAGGGTCTGCTGCAGCGCTTGTCTACGAGGAGCAGAACCAGAAAGATAACAGGAAGTGTTTTCGGTGTAACAAGCAGCCATTAATCCAGCCCACATTGCTGGATCATCTAAAGTAGAGAGCAGAATGACGACTCAAATACGTATAAGCAAGTATCTCACACACCCGTGTTCTTCAATAAATGTCACATGCAAAACAGCCATTTTTTCTATATAGGTAAGGTTACACTCCACTGATATAAATAAACATTAAGAAACCTTCCTGGCAAGAAAAGGAAATGTATTTCCTCAATCTAATTGAATTTAATTGTTCTAAATTAGAGAATTAAAATTTTTTTTAATTGTATTTGTTATTTATATTTCCAGCTTTAAAAGACAATAAAAAGAATATCATGTTTATCGTGTGTAAGAAAATAATGTGTGTGTTTACCAGGACAGAGCAGCACAGCTCTCTGCATAGTCTTCAATGCATTCTTCTGACTGTCCTCTCCAGAGTGTCTGCCACTGGCCAGCTGGTTCACTCCACTGTACAACAACGCCCTCTGCAGTCACACAAGTTACGTCAACCGTTTAACATGCAAACAATGTGAATATATGGGTAAAATATACCTTTTGGATGTTTCGGTTGTTAAAAGTTTTAAAATATGTCTACAATGTACAAAAACTGAGAAAAAGAAATTACTGCTAAATTAAATGGGCCAGTTAGATTTTTTTAAAGGTTTACCGGAGAACACAAGACATAAGATAAAAGTCACATTTTTACCTTTCCTTGGGTCATACTGGAGAGACAGGCAACATGGCCAGCTACTGCAGCACCCTGTGAAATAAACAAGTGAAAAACATGAACCCCAATGAACCAAATGTGTTTGAGCATATTTGATTTGTCAGGCTTAGTACACAGGCTTACATTTGCCTTTCTAGGGTAGTACTGTGGAACCACTCTGGACAGAAGCGCCCACAAAGAAGCATTTCCAGGATTGCTATAAATAAATCAAGAAAACATGGAAAGTTGTTAAATTTATGATCTGTTGCTGCAGTGTCCAGGGTTGTTGCAGTTGTGGTTGATTGTTTTGTTTGATCACTAGAGAGTAGAATAAAATGCATATAGTGTAAAAGAGTACATACCAGCAAAATTATTTGTTTTTTGAAGTAAAGGCAAGCTTATCATTAATGCAAATTTCATTAAAGGGAAATACCTGTGCACAGCTCTTGAAACCTCCCTTGGCACTGCACTAAAATTCCCCTGCACAGCCAACAAGGTGCAGGTGAGTAGACATCGCTGCTCGATAGCACTCCCAGAGGCTGAACCTTGCTTTAGGAGCTCAGTAAGCGCAGCAGCAGCAAGTGTAGCATCACTGTTGGCCAGTCCGAGCGCACATAAACAAACCA